AAAAAAAAAAAAAAAAAAAAAAAAAAAAAAAGAAGTACAAAAAACTATATAAATGCAAAAGAAAACCTATGCGATTAAAAATGTTCATCGAAAGAAACGAAAAAAAGTAAATAAGTAAATATTAAAACATGATAATTTAAAAACGTAACAAATATCCTTAAATTAAAAAAAAAAATCTTTTTTGTCATTTTGTCACAGCATTTACCAGAACAGCAATCCGCCCTCTGAAGATTTTGTAGATGAATGAAGAGCAAATCAGAAAAAAAACAACGGAGGAAAAAAATCAACGCAATTCAATTAGAAAGCATTTGATTAAAAACTGCAGTAGCAGCAGCAACTACCGTAACCAGAGACAATAACACGCTGTTCTCTGCACAACGCCCCATGCATTTGCTTGCCTAGTAGCTTATTTACTCGCTTGCTTGTCTAGCGCTAAAGGTTTTTGATACTAAAACAGCACAAACTAAGAAATTCGAACAAGCAGGCTAACATACAAATAAACTAATTTCAGAATCCAGCTAGAGTGAAAAAAAAGAAAAGAGAAACAATTCCGCTACACAACCTGCTCGCACTAAAGCGTTTTTATCCAATTCTAACCATAAAACCTTTCGATATCAACAACAACAAAATCCCGATTTTGGCCACCAGTACAAAATGTGTAAAACCCGAGTGCTGCCAGACAAAAGCTTTTTAGTTCAAAACACTCATAGTTAAAAAAATCCAGAACTCCAACTCTCTTTCCAGCGTCTGAAGTGACCAACAAGCAACCAAAAACAACGAAACCTCCTTCCCAAAACTGTAACCTTTTAAAACCTCATTTACAACAATCTGCACCTCTATAAAACGAAAATAAGGTAAAGGAAAAGCCAAAAATCTTGAAACGCTATACATCACGCCAATTTAGACAAAATATCGGCACCTTGAGAAAAATATTCAAAAACCTTATATGATGTTAATTGACTGAATTCACTACCTGCGTGAGTTAGATACCAAAAAAACAAATGATAAAGAGAAAAATAAAAAGTAATTAGGTCAAGGCCTGATTCTTACCTATATGTGAAGTAGTCAAATAAGAAACTCTTGAAAAAATTAAGCCTTATTTCGAGAAGAAGAAAAATTTATACCCATTTTATTTTTAGGGATGTCCATAACCTGTCATCGCTGAGCGAGGCAAGCAAACAAAGCTAAGCACAAGTTACTTCTCTGGACATGGTGTAATCTTCACGAATCAGTTTGGGTGAGTAAAAGTTAACTAATAATGTTTCGCAGAATATTTTTAACGCCGCCGAACTATTGATCCTAGTTAATCAAAAAGGCTCTGCTTCAAATGTGTTTCACGAAACGATGTATTTATTATATTTATTACATTTATTGGCAGTTTAGCTGCTCGGTGACTTCAAAACTGAAACCAGTATAATCGCTTAACTTCTTCTACAACTGTAATTTACAGCTCTGACTTTCAGTTATCGTGCCGTATACGTAGAAAAAAAAATGCATAAAAATCTTGTAAGACTCCAAACTTTTTCTTCAGTTTTTAACACGAACTTTAGCCAATAAAGATATACTTTTGATACCAGGTCAATTAATAGACATTATTATCTTGATTTCTATTTAAAAAAAAGTGCATTAGCAGACTAAGGCAAAATTGAAATTAAGAAATTATAATTGGGTAGGAAGTTTTTGTTGCAGTCCCGTAATTATAATTTTAAACAATCTAGTTTATTCCAAAATTCATTAGTGCAAGAAATACGACATTCCTTTCTCCCCCTCTCTTTCCTGCTCCCTCCCTTTCAATAGCACAGCATTAGAGTTTAACTAAACAACCACCTACAAACAAACTAGAACTTTGAAAACTAAAAACACGCTGGAAAACATCAAACAGTGAATTTTATTGTTTGGTCAAAGACAAGGTATGGAAGAGCACAAAAACTTACAACACTCAAAACAGGGTGTCCGAAACGGTAGCCCAAAAAATGAACGGTGATAAAAGTCCATGAAGAGAAGTTGGTGCTAGTTGCTGAGACAAAAAAGTTACTAATAATTCTGGAACAGCCAAAGCTATTCAGGCCTTCAGGCAAAAAAAGTCTCCTATTCAAGGTTGAAGCCACCTGTTCATTATGACTGTCAACAAAGAAGCAAAAACATCTTAAATGGGCGGGTGGAGATGCGTATAACAAGGACCAAAAGCACTTAAGGAAGATGAACAAATAATTGCCAAAAAATAGGAGATAAATTTACCGATTTGTCATTAGCTTCCTATTTTTCTTATTTTTTTTGCTCAACATTTTTCAATAGATATCATCCAATCATAAAAGAAAAGACTAGGCACCATCAAAAGACGGTAAGGATAGTATTTGTTATTTGACTTTCTGCCTAATGTTAAAGAAATTTGCAAATCCTCATAATCAAGGAAAAAATGACTAAAAAAGGAATTCTTTTACGACGTGCTACACAACAGGACAAATAAGTCCCTAAGCTTTGAATCTGCGCAATCCAGTCTTCTGATCAACAACAACAGATGCTGTTCTATCTTCTCCTGCTAGCACGAAACAAATAAAATTACAAACAAGGGTGAGAACTTACTTATTCAACAAAAACTATTGTTGACAGAAAGAAACCAAGGAGAAGTAGACTAAATAAATGAGGATAAACTTTTGAAAGAAACCTGATAAAAACAATACAAATCAAAAACAAATGAAAGATTCAGTGAATTCTAAATCCGTTGAACAAGCGTGCATAAACAAAATTGCTGCACAACTGATCTTTCAAAATTTTTATTTCTCGAAACGGTTGTTACGCTCTTTTTAAAAAGACTTTTCAAACAGTGAATCAGCAATCTCCCATGGCTAACAGGAATCTCATAAGCACATGAAAACGACTAAATAAGTTTCAGATACTTTTATATAAGCTCAAACCGATTAAAATTATCACGAATTATTTCTTCTTTAACGACTAATAAGGTACCGAGACTCTGACTAAAGAACA